CTCTGAAAGGGGAAAAATAATATGACCAATTTAAATAGGAAGTGTGAAGGTGCCATTTGATTTAGCATCCAAATGCTTTGGTTTTTAGTTTCTATAAGGAGATTTTTAACATGCATGCTAGTGATAGATACAGGCTACGATGCTCTCTCAAAATTTAACTGAGTTTACAATGTGACCTTTTGGCCAACATCACCATTTTCATCAGAGATAGATGTCAGTAGTACACCTCATTTTTTGGCGGCAGGAGTATTTTTTTTTATATATATATATATAGGGTTTATCTGTGTAGCCCTGGCTGTCCTGGAACTCACTCTGTAGACCAGGCTGTCCTGGAACTCAAAGATCCACCTGCCTCTGCCTCCTTAGTGCTGGGATTAAAGGTGTGCACTACCATGCCTGGCAGAGTATACCTCATTTTTGTCTTAGCATTAGAGAAGTTCATGATAGATGGCATAGTTGACAGCCACTGGGACTCAGCAAATGTGAAGTACCAAACATTAAGACAAGCAGACCTCTCTTGTCCCTCCCTGTTCAGTGTACACATCAGAGACTCTTTCCTGTACTATTCTTTTGGTTGATTGTCCTAGTCTTCTGTTAAAATACTTTAGCTTGGTCCATAGCATCCTTAGAGGAAAGAATTGAGAGCATGTGTGGATAAGGTGAATGGGTGGGAAAGGGTGAGAGCACCAAAAGATGTTGATGCGAATTATCTTTTTCTTTCCAAAGCAAGGCACTTTATAACATCTAGCTCTGCTAACTTCTATTTTTTACTAAATTATATTGTATCCTGCCAGCCCCATACTCATCCCTGTGACTTCTTTTCTCTGTCACTCCTTCCTTTGACTTTCACGAGACTTTATGTTCCCTCCTTTGGCAGTCTACTTTTTTAACACCCACTTGACTTCTGCTGCCTCCCCCCACCATGTTTCCAGAAATCTCTGTCCATTAAATACCATCTTTCTATGTATATGGGGGTTTGTACCTAAAATAATGTGCCATGAAGAGGAGGAAGGAACTAAAATATGCAGCTGTAAACTCATGTCTGGCCACAGAAATGAATATTCTCAAGACAGGAGAAAGCAGACTGTTTAGCTTCAGTGATTATATAACCTGCCCTCAGTCTTGCTAACCATCAGAATCAGGTAAGGGTTGGTGACCTCTTCCTGTCACCATATGAGGACAGAGTGAGAAGGCAGTTATCTGTGAAGCAGGAAGAGCTCTCATGAGAAACTGAACTGAGCTACAACCTTGGGCTTAAACTTTGCATCTTCCAGAACTGTGAGGAACTAACTTTCTGCTGTTGTACGTCTCCCTAACTGTGTTATTTCATTGTGTCCCAAATAGGCTGACACCAAGCAAAGTCTCACTCCCTAACACCTGTCAGTTCCTCTTTGATGTGCTTGTTCTGTTCCTACCCACTTCCCACATTCCATCTTGCTTTTTCCTCTCCCTGAGACATGGTCATGTCCCATTTACTTATTCATGAGAGTCCCATGTTCAAACTGATAGACAAGAGTTCCATTTGAACAGTGGTATTCCCAAAGAATTCTAACTCATATCTTCCCATCTTCATTGATCACAGGGATTCCCTGGTATTTGAAAGCTGCCTACTTAGCTCAGTACTTTTGCGTATGTTGTAAAAGAAAATGATGAGGAAAGTGCCTCTCGTCCATCCCCACCATTTAATTCGATGCTCTAAATAGTTTGGTGAGACAGAGAGCACAGATGAGCGTATTTCCTTATTGCTGAGTAAACTAAAGCTAAGAAAGGAAGTAGCTCTGTAGATTGAGTTACAAATAATGCTTGTAAAATTTCTTCATATTGGCACTGATGTTTTTGAACTAGATATCCTTTGGGACACTATTCTGTGCATTGTAGAATGTTTAGCAGCAACTTTGGCTTGTGTCCACTATATGCTACTAGCCCTCCGAGTGGTGACAAGTAAAAAATCTCCAGATATTGCTAGATATCTTCTGGGATGCAGAGTCCTTGGATGACAATCACTGGTGTTAAGAGAAAAGCCCCTGGGTTTGAATGGGTAGATGACTTAAAGACACTTCTGTTGCTGCTTTGGCTTCTTTCCCTCTCTCCCTTTTTCCTCCCTGATTCCCTTTCTTTATTTTTTTGTGGGGTATGGGCTATCCAGCTATTATTTATTTTTTAAGTACTTTTTGTGTGCCACATGCTTTACATACATTCTCTCTTAGCGCTCAGATTATCCCTTTGAAGTAGTATTAATCTTCACTTAGCAGATAAAAATAGTCTGACAGATCGGCTTGCCCAGTCAGTAAGTGGTAGAGCTGGGACTGAAACCCAAATCATTCCTGTTCTGAGATGTTCTCCCTACTCTTGTGACCATGTAGACTTTGCCAGGGTGACTTCTCTTGTCTCTTTAAGGAGCAACCTAGAGATGTATATTATTTTACCCCATTTTTTCCTGCATAATTTGCTCTTAGCCTAAGACATTGCCAAACTCTTTCAGGTGTCAGGGAACTAAAGGGAATGTAGACCAACCCTACTGCAGAGAAGCCTGTCCTGGGTGACCATAAGGAAACATTTTCCATATATTTTAAGAGACGGTTATGTTAGCTTGTCTCATCACTCGTTGGTATTCTTCCCATTTTATTTTAGTATGCCTGTAATTTTGTCTGTAACTCAGAATTGTCAAGAAGTGGGTGGCTTTGCCATGTTTATTTTGGCTGCAGTGATGAAAAGTATGAACCACCAGTACAGAATGTATAGTTATATGAGTGTTTTGGTTTTGTTTTTTCTCAAATAGCATTATAAGCATGATGGTACAGACTATAATACCAGTGCTTAGAAAGCTGAGATAAGAGAACACCAAGTCCTAGAATACATAGCAAGATCCTGTCTTAAAAGAAAAACCAGGCATAGTAGCATACCTCTGAAATCCTAGCACTTGGGGGACAGAGTCAAGAAGGTTGACAGGAGTCCAAGGTTAGACTGGGTTACATAGTGAGGTCCAGCCTAGCCAGGGCTACATAAGATTCTGTGTAGATGGAAGTTTCTGTTCTGCCTGGGGTCACAGCCGTTCAGTCCCAAATAAACAAACAGGTTTATATTAATTATAAACTATTTGGCCAATGGCTCAGGCTTCTTATTGGCTAGTTCTCTCTTAATTATTAACCCATTTCTATTACTTCTGTCTACAACTGTGTCTTAAAAAAAAGTTTAGCCATTTTCAGAGTATTTTTACAAATACTGTATTCTCCAGCAAGACATGGTGATACACACTTTAATCCCAGCACTTGGGAGGCAGAGACAGGTGGATCTTTGTGAGTTCAAGAGCAGCCTGACCTACATACTGTGTTCCAGGACTGCCAGGGCTATGAAGAGAGACCCTATCTCATAAAAACAAAACAAGTATTATATTATCTTCCTAGCCTCATGCTAAATAATCACTTGTTTTACAGATTAGGTACTTACCTTGTCCAAAGCCAGTGTCTATTAAAGTATTAGAGCCCAGTCTAGAACCCTTAGATTTTAATTTGGACCTTGATCTGGAAGTATGATGTTCTTCTTGTCATCTGCTGCTGCTGCTTGCTAGTTTTTCAGACACCATACCCAACAGATCTCATACTAAGCAGGAGAGTTGGCCATGCTTTGTTCTCCCTGTGTCTAGTTTGCCTGCTTGCTTTAGATACTTCAGAGCCTAGCAAAATCCAGAAACCAGGTATGAAAGCTAAAACAAAAACAAGAAAACAAAAAATAAATAGGAAGCCACGGTTGTCTTCTGAACAGTTGAAGATATATTGGGAAGAGGGATATATACCCAAGGGGATGAATGGAAACAAGCTATTTGCTTTGTTTTGGTTATTACAATAAATTGTGAAGTCACTCATGCTGTAGTTTAAGGTTTGCTTTTGTACTAATGACTAGGTGTGTAAGCAAAGGGAAAGGGAAGGTGTAAGAACTATAAGAGGGAGAACTCTGGCATCAATTTTTTTAAATTATTTTTTTTTGATGCGTTTTGTCTGCATATATGTCTATGCATCACCTGTGTGCCTGATGCCCACAGAGACCAGAGGATGGCATTGGATCCCCTGGAATGGTAGTCATAGATGCTTGTGAACTGCCATGTGGATACTAGGAGTTGAACCCAGGACCCCTGGAAGAACAGCAGGCACACTTAACTGCCGAGCCATCTTTGCAACCCCTGGGAGCAACATATTTGTAAGCTCCAGGAGAACAGAAACAGAAGAGTTTGTATCAGGGCTAGTTTTTTTTTTTGTTGTTGTTGTTGTTGTTTTTTTTTGTTTTTGGTTTTTTGTTTTTCGAGTCAGGGTTTCTCTGTGGCTTTGGAGGCTGTCCTGGAACTCACTTTGTAGACCAGGCTGGCCTCGAACTCACAGAGATCCGCCTGCCTCTGCCTCCCGAGTGCTGTGATTAAAGGTGTGCGCCACCAACGCCCGGCCAGGGCCAGTTTTTAAAAGGTCGTGTGTGGTATGGGGCATGGGGTGGATGGAGATTAGATGGCTCAGCCTTAACATGTTGTATAAGCCTGCGTTTGATCCCCAAAACCTATGTAAAGGTAGGAGAGAACCAACTGCCCTTTGTCCTCTGACCTCCATATTCAGGCAGCAGTACACATGTTCCTCCTCCTCAATAATATGCATATATACAATAATAAAATAACATTTTAAAAATTTAATAAAGGTGTGCAGAGGGTCTGGCCTACTTGGTGGGTTACTGCTTAAAGGCTGGGTAGCTAGTGTGTCAGGAAGGGGCTGGAAAAGAAGGTGCAGTGAGTGTGATAGGGCAGGCAGTGCCTGAGTTCCCTAGCATTCCCAGATGAGCCTACAATATTTACTTGCTATGATCAAGCCAATGTGGGTGGTGTTGCTTGCTTAGAATCTGAGATTATGAAAAAATTCTAGGAAAAATGAGGGCATAGAATCTGCTCAGGGAAATGATAAGAGATAATGAGAGCTAATTAGAGGAGGGTTTAGAGATGCCCCTGCTACTGTAACTGTTGGCCCTGGCCAGTAAGAACTTGATCACTGTGTAGTCTGAGTTTCTAGGAACCAAGAGATGGAGTGTGTTCTGAAAAAAAAGACTATGGGGATAGCCTGATGATAGATCACACATCTGTATGTATGAGGCCCTGGTTCAGTCTCTAGCACTGCCTCACCCAAAGTCTGCAGTTAAAAATCACTTCTGTGGCCGGGCGGTGGTGGCGCACGCCTTTAATCCCAGCACTCGGGAGGCAGAGGCAGGCGGATCTCTGTGAGTTCGAGGCCGGGCTGGACCGACAGCCTCCGAAACAATACAGAGAAACCCTGTCTCGTAAAACCAAAAAAAAAAAAAAAATCTGTCTTTTTGAGTTGTTCATAACCTCTTTTAGATGACAGTTTTGCACTTGCTGAGTGTTAGAACCAAGAATAGATGGTGAGTCAGACATAGGACCCCCTCTCTACTGCAAGCTCACAGAATAGGTAGATTCCCTGGGTCCCTTTTAGGTGTTGCTTTCAAGGTCTTATTAGCTCATGTTTCTTTACATTGTGGCCATTGTCTTCTGCCTCTCAGAACTTCTTATAGTTGTTTTGCCTGCAGGATTGTATATATGTGTACCATAGCATGCCTGGTACTTGCAAAGGTCAGAAAAGGGTGTCAGATTTCCTGGAACTAGTGTTACAGATGGTTGTGAGCCACCAAGTGGATGCTGGGAACTAAACTCAGGACCTCTGGAAGAGTAGCCAGTGCTCTCAACCTCTGAGTCAGCTCTCCAGCCCCACTTTTTACATTTCTTGATGTGACATGGTATTGGGAGAATGCATCCCTCTTCTCTCTAGTGATTACTGTTTCTCCCTTCCAAGTTTTTTTTTATTTATTTGTGTTACATACTCTTCTTTCTTTGACCAGTTCTTAGTTGCTTTTTCCTTACTCAGTTGGGGGAATTACTTGCTTTGAATTATGTTTTTCTTGTTTTCTTGTTGTTTAATTTTTTTTTTTGTAGCGCTGAAGTTAGAACACAGGGCTTTGATATGTCATGCAAATACCTTTTTACTGAGCCACATATGAAGTTCAGAGCACTGTATAAAGATGGCCTTGCATCTCTGTCTCTGTCTCGGTCTTTGTCTGTCTGTCTGTCTGTCTCTCTCTCTCTCTCTGACACACACACAAATAAACAAATAAATAAATGAAAATTTTATTATTAGTGCCCTTTTTTCCCCTGGGAGTCTAGTTGTATATTCGATTAAGATTTCTACTAATCCTTCAGCAAACAAGATGGCTGGCGTTTCTGGAAGAAATTGCCTGTTCCTGCTTTTAGTATTTCTCTTGTACTCATCTCAGAGGCTTGTGCCTTACAAAACACCTTGTGGTTGCTATCACGTGATCACAAGGAAGTTGAAGTCATATACCCAATGACAGCTGCTCCCAAAGATCCCTGTCAGATTAGAGTGATTTTTCTTTAGTCTTTCTAAATAATCCTTAAAGGAACCTCCAGGAACACTGAAGGCTAATATAACACATCTTTAACCTGTGCCTTTTTGTACAAATCCTTTTTGTTTGGTCGAATACAAAGGGGGGACACATGCGTATGGTAGAAAAGCATTAAGGAAATTACAATCACTCATAATCTCTATGCATAGATAGATGGTGGTTAATATTTGGTATTTTCCTTCTGATCTTTGTTTTGTTTTTTGAGACAGGGCCTTGTAATCTAGACAGGCTGAGTTGGATCTCCCAATGTAGCCCAAACTCTGAGCAATTCTGCCTCAGTCTCTAAGAGATAGGATTATAGGCAAGGGCCTGGCTTAATTTTCCAAAATTTTCTTGCTTATTGTACAAATTAAAGAACTTTATCTGCTGGTCCCTTATATCTTACTAAAACCATCTACTTCGGTCTGTACAAGGATCCTTCCTTTGGCCTTTTATATTCTTACTGGAGATTAGATGTGCTGGCCTCTCTGAAGGTGTTCTTATTTATATCTTGGAGACATACAACACTATGATGTCTTTTTGCTCATAGCAGCCTTCCTTGGAATGTGCTATTCTTTCTCATCTGCATGGTTATTACAGGTGTCTTTCCATGCTGTAACTATCAGACTTTAAAATTATTTATTCAGTTTTAAGTCAGGAATAGTACTCAGACTAGCCTTCTCTGTCCTTGTTTATTATTTGTGGCATCTGCAGTTTCCCAATGGTTGTTGATCTATTGTGACTTTGCTGTATATATCTTAGAAAACTCAAGGCTGTTTATCTAGAACCTTACTCCTTCAAAAGGTCATCAGACAGCATTATATAGACATTTCTGCAATAGTGGAAGTGTTGTGTGTATATGCTTCCCAGTAACACGGGTACTAAATATGGTTAATGCAACTGAGAAATTGATTTTTTTATTTTTATTTTTGAAGATTTATTCATTTATTATTCATAGTGTTCTACCTGAATGTATGCCTGCAGGCCAGAAGAGGGCACCAGATCTCATTACAGATGGTTGTGAGCCACCATGTGGTTGCTGGGAATCGAACTCAGGTCCAATGTAAGATCAAACAATGCTCTTAACCTCTGAACCATCTCTCCAGCCCCAAGAAGCTGATTTTTTAAAAACTTAATTTAAAACCTAATAGCAAGGTATATTCCGTACACCTATAATCTCAACAGGTAAGAGGATTGTGAGTTAAAGGCAAGCCTAGGCTGCATAGTGAGTACCTATCTCACAAAACAAAATTAAAACCAATGCAAAAAAAAAAGTTATGCATACAACTTGAATTGTTCATGTAACTTATAATTACCATACTGGATAGCACTGACCAGATTACCCCAGCTGGTTCTACTAGCTCCTCTCCTGGGCAGGAGAGTTTGTTTCTTTTGGTGTGTGTACTCATAGGCTCCTCCTCAACCACTGCCCTGTCTTGCCAGCTGAGTAAGAGGTGAGATCAGGAAGAATGGTATTTTTTTCTTTTTTGAATGTTGGAAATCAAACCCAGGGCCTTGAGCACAGTGCTCTAGTGCTAAGCTACACCTTTGACTCAGCGGAGAACTGTTTCTAAGATGGGCTCCTTGAGCAGCTGGGTATCGGGCTTTTTCTTATTTGCAGCTCCACGCCTTCTGGAAGCTGTTGGGAAGATGAATACATGTGCCATTATATTGCAGTCTAAATAATAAGAGTTTTTCAGGGAAGGGCTTATACGGGCTTATACTTTATGAAAACTCAAGTCAGAAGTGTTTTTTTCTCTTTTTTCCAATTATATTTCTCATTACCCTTTTTGTACTTTTATGTTGTATTCTCTCAACTTTGGCAGCTTAAACACTGTAAATGTGCCTCTGAGTCATTCCATTGATTCCCTCAAGCATTACTGTCATATAATCCCTTTTAGAAACTTGGTGAATTTCATTCGGACCTTGTAGATATGTTTTACTTTTTAAATGATTCAGTAATTTTTCCCCCTCTTTTTTCTTATCAGCAATTTTGTAGAATATAATTAACATGCCATTCTATTAAGAACTGTTTCATTTTTCTTTCCTTCAATAACATTGCTTTTTAGGAAAATTTCATTGATTTTTATTTATGTCTATGTGTGTGAGCTTTTCTATATATGTGCAATGCCCACAGAGGCCAGAAGAGGGCATTGGATCTTTTGGAACTGTGTTTACAGGTGGTAGTGAGCCACCTAACCTGGATACACTGCACAAAAGCAGGTGTTCTTAACTCCTGAGGCATTCTCTAACCCCAAAAATGCTTTTCTTTTTTTCTTTTAAATTAAGACTTATTATTTTTATTTATATGCATGTGTGTATGGGGATGTACACAAGTGTGGGGGTGCCTGCAGAGGCTAGTGGTTTTGGATTCCCTTGAATTAGAGTTTTAGGTAGTTGTGAGCTGTCCCACATGAGTGCCAGAATTGAATTTATGACCTCTACAAGACATGGTTTCTCTGTGGAACAGTCCCGGCTATCTTGCAACTCATTCTGTCAACCAGGCTTGTCTTGAACTCAGAAATCCACCTGGCCCTGCCTCCTGAGTGCTGGGATTTAAAGTCGTGTGTGGCGCAGTATGCTCCCCTAAATGGTGAGCTATCTCCCAACATTGCTTTTCTTAAAGAGGAAATCTAACAAAAGTTAGATATGAAATCTTCATTTCTTTATTTTGTCTTCTTCCCAAACCTTTTTTATATTCTCCATCATTGTCATGTGGCCTCCAATGTCTTTCCCTCCAGGCACTTCCCATGTGTGTTGGGGAATGAGCTTTAGACTGTGACATGATATGACAGGATTTGCTGGAAAGCTAGACTTTCTCTCTATGTTAATCTCACCTCTGAAAATACAGCCTGCAGTAGCATACCAAGCACCCATCCTCTCTCCAAAGCCATTCAGTGAGAATCATTTTAGTTTGTGAAAAGCAGGAGTCTGCATGTTCACTGCTTTCACTGTGAGCTAAATTAATGCACATTTGGGGAAACTGACTGTGTTTTCTGCCTTCCATTGACAGAATGGCACACGAAACTTCCAGGACTTTGACTGCCAGGTAAGGACCGTACAAGCACAAAAGAGGCTCTGTACAGGGTCCCTACAGTGCCTCCCTCTCTATGCCAGAAGCTTTAGAGTAGATCTTTGTATTGTTGTTGTTTGTATTTTGTTCTGTTTTGTTGAAGCAGAGACTGTAGTTGAGGCTGGCCCTGAACTCATGACAATGCCTCCTGCTTCAGCTTCCCGAGTTCTGGGTTTATAGGCATGAGCCACCACACCTAGCTAGATGCGTGCTCATTATAGTAATCATGACTCACTAGTATGCTTTTAGTCATCGGATCAAGTTTATTTAAATTATTTGCTAGCATTTCAAAAAGTGCCTTCTATGAACCTGTCTAATGACTATAGGTTACTTGGTTGAGCTGTCTCTTTGTGACTGAGATCTCCTTTCCTCAGATAATGTCAGAGACCTCATTTGTCACCAGTGGGAAATGGAAGGCTGTCACCAGACTGCAGATAAAATAGATGATGGGCAGTTTGGAGAAGTGACATCTTAATAGCAAAATTGTTTCCTAAACCAAAAAGCAAATTATTATTAATGCAAAATGAAATTTTTTCTTGACTTTGTGTTTGGAAATGCAAAAT